TTCACGATAACTACTGCTCCCATCTCCAGGATCGCGAAACAACGCCGCATTTCGTTTCTTTTAAGTTGTGAACAAAAGAGCTCTCTTTAAGGTTTTCTGAAGTCATGATTTTGGTGTTCTTCTTCGGGTTTTCTCGGGACAGAGGAAGAGAAGTCCAAGAAGTAGTTCCTTGCAGTGAAGGAAGAAGAAAGAAGAAGAAGAAGATTGTTCTCCCTTGGCTTCTTCTTGATGGCTTGTGGCTAAAGAGATATTATGTTTATTTCTCTTGTAAGTTTATCTTCTTCGGTGTATCTTGGTGTAGAGTTTCTTCGGTGTATCTTGGTGCGGAGAGAGAAGAACAGAGAAAGAAGAAGAGAGAGCAACGAAGTGAGAGATGCCTCTTGTAAGTCGAGGTGATCGACTGGTGTAAATTTCTCAAATAGTAAAATCCTCTGTAACTTCGTGGACGTTGGGAATTTGCCGAACCATGTAAATCTGTGTTCTTTTCTGGTGTGAAATTTTTCTTGTTATATTTTTTCGCTTCGTCGTTGATCGTTCTCCTATTTGATTTATATATATATCACAACAACTGGTTTATCTCTCGCAACACCTCTCCCCTACTGCTTAGCTCTCCTAGGGGATTTTTCGTACTCGACTTTTCAACACTATCATATAAAATTACAAGATTTTACTAATGATTGGCCTTTGCCAAACACAAGTTTCTATTGTTTCTCTTCTCATTTCCTCTTAGTTACCTTTATGTTAGGTGTGCTGCAAAATTCGTGACAGTAAAGTGAGAATTTTATTTTTTAGTTTTGCATAAATTTTTTTACACACATAAATAAAAGAGAGACATATGGAAGACACACAAGCATTTTTACATCAATCATTAACTATACTGATTGAAATTATAAAAGCTCACATTTCTCTTTAATTAAAACAATAGAATTATAAAGTAATGTATTTAATAATAGCTTAAATTTCTATGAATATGGTTGAAGTAATGGAGTTAAGCAAAATAATAGTGTTCAAGTGACAATAGCTGAAGAATGGAGATAAGGCGAAACGATCACACGAAGGTGATCTGATGACGATAATTCTCGATGATTATTGTTTGTGTCGGACATCAGACATATCTAAAGTTCCTTAGACCACTATGTCTTCTCCACGCCCAAGTCTTCCTCTCGCTCATCTGCAAAATGCGACCTTATTTTAAGCTTTTGAGTATGAAATTTGACCGACCCAATCAAAATTTTAAAACATTTCATCAAACCCTTATACTAATTATCTATAAAAACAATAAGAAAAAATATAAAGAAATTGTTGCTTGTAGAATATTGTAAGGTGAACGAGGAAAAAAAGGAAGCATGTTTTTCTTTTCTCCAGAATCCGGCTGTTCAATCTGAGAAACTTTAATTTCCACCAATTTTTATTTATTTATTTTTTCATAAAATGTCATTTTAGCTGAAATGCAGCAACATAATGAAAAGAATAAAGGAATATCCAAAGCACTTTTGAATTGGTAGTTCACTTTCGCTGCAGGATATTCTAAAATGAGCCGCATCAGCTTAAAGTGGATGGGACTTTGGGAGCTATAAGCTATTCTTGACCAAGATTGGCTTTTTTTTTTTCTACTAATTTATGTATTTATTAGTGAAATTAAAATTTTAAATGAAATAATTTGGGTTAGAAAATTTAATATAAATTATTATTGCGTGCAAAAAAATTCACTGCAATAGAGTAGTGACGAAAATTCAGTATGCACACATATGAGAAATGGAGACATTAGAATTTTTACGTGAGAACATCATTAAAGAAAAAAGGAAAATACTATAGGGCCTAGCCCAATCAAAGTAATTCACTATATGTTTGTAAGTACAGGGGTATGTCATTCTATGACAATATGGAGAACTGAGTTATAATCTTATACTGAAAACTATAATTGTTTTTATATAACTAAAAAAAAGTGCTCGAAAAAAAAGTAATATCCAAAGCACTTTTGAATTGGAGTTCTCTCGTCGAAGCGCTTGACCTGATCATAAATATATCAATTTTGATGCTCATTTGATCATTCAATTTACGATCCAAAACATTCGATTGTGCTTCAACGTCTTGATATGGGTTTGATTGCACTCGGATTGAACAAATTCTATAGTCATTGTGGTTGTCTTCTTGAGATGCTCAGTTTAATTATAAGTTTGAAGAATAGAAGCTTGGATGATGATGAATTTGTATTTGAAATATTTTTTCGTCAAAATATATCGAGATTCGTGTCCAATGATAAAAATTTATTAATGCAACATTAATTATATTGATATAAATTGTAAAACTCTAGAAGTTTTTTGAAAAATAATGTTAAATATGAAAATTTTGTATTTATTTATTTATTATTTATTATTTATTATTTATTATTTTTGGACGTGAAGCGATGAGAAACTTTTTATATGTAAAGTCTGATTCCGTCACCATCAATATTAAATTATTAATAGAAAAAATTCAAATTATTATATTTTTATGAAAAAAAAAAATAGAAATGCTTACGTTTGGACTGGCCTTCTCGGTCGCTTTCCTACTGTTCATGGGTCAAATCACTTTCCCTTTCTATTGGAGCCTGCAGTCAACGAATCCATTAAAGGATAGCCAAGTGTCTCCTTTGCCATTTAATTTAAAGCATGTGATTTAGATTTCTTATTTTTGAAAAATAAAATAAAATTTTACTTAGACATCACACATAATTTCATATTTATATATCTAATATCTACATTTCTTATATTTATATTTTTATTTCCTTTTATTTTCGAGCATGATACTTTTAGATGCAAGAGAAAATATCTAATCAATATTAAGTATGACAAGGGAGGTAAGAAAATAATAAAAAAAGTATGGCATAGATGTAGCTTAGACTAAAAAATATTTTAATTAATGCTTAACCATCACATCATTTATGTCATTATTTTAAAATTAAAATTAAAATTTAAAAGAGTCATTAATTCATTTTCTTAAAAGATTAACTTTATTTATATATATATTTTTAAATTATTTGCTTAATATTAAATCACTTAATGAGTTTGGAGCCTTTGTAGTATGGCTAATAATTAATTTTAGTTTTATTATTTTTTTAAAGCGCTTATAATGCATTAACCTTTGTAAGTTAAAATCTCATAAAAAGATAGAAGCTTGAGGATTTTTTTTTTGTCCAATATAGTTTTCGAATTTGGAGCATCCAAGTAAGCCCTATTGCATTTGTGCATTGCGTTTAGTCTTATTTAAATTACTTGAAAAATATATTGACATAAAAAAAGCAAAAATTGGCCAATATCACTTCAATATTAATGCTTTTCAAGTTCAAAAGGAATTTGACGATTGTTTATTGGGCTCAAATTGCAAATTGTGTAGGATTGGGCCGTGGCTTGACGAAAATCGAGAACTACACGGCTTGGCGTGCATTTCTTTGATATGCATTAATAATATCTGACTTGCTCTCATTAAATTTCTCTCATCCATAAGATTTGATGGTTTAGAACGAATGGGGTAGATCGAGGGATGGCCCACCTGAAAAAACTCAACGGTCCCCATTATATGACTAGATATAATAAATAAAAGGTGCACCAAGTCATAAAGGCAACTGACTCACATGAACCCAGGCGGCTCCAGAAACGAGGCAAAGGATAGTCAGAACCTATTACCATGACGAAATCGAACTAAGGGGAGCTAATCACTCGAATCTTGCAGTTATAGTGGAGACATCCAACAATCTCCCTATATTTTCAAGAGTCAATATTATCAAGTTATAGTCATCTCTCAGGATCTCTTCACCAAAGAATAGATACCTATCAGATTATGATGATTCACCATCTGCCTGATTTCCTACCAGTACTCTGTCAACATGAATCGCTCACTAGGGATTGCCGGTCAATTGCCAAACTAGATTGATCAATCGATGAAGCTGAGCCAATCGAATTAGCCCTAACGACCCCAAACCATTCAAGACCCATGGCAATGATTCTATCTAGCCAATTGGACCGACCTCGCCAAGCATAGGCTCTACAAGCCCAGTCAGCTGAGTTACTGAGTCCTAGGCCCACTTCTGTGAAATACTCACTAAAGCATGGTACAAGCATAATTTCATCACAATGTATTTCATCCCTAATAAATAGAAAAATCATTTCATGAATGAAGGATTATAAATTACTTTCATTATTATTCATTCAAACATGGATTCAGACTACTCATGGCATCTTTTAATTAGTCTTGTTGAGATCTACAGCTCAACCGTAATAATTTCATTCAAATGACAGCTCAAACGGTTCTATATTTGGTCCCAAGGACTTTTAGTTTTTAAAACATAACCTGATTTATAATTGAAGTCACAACACAAACGGAACAACGATAAACCTCTTTTAAAACAACAAAATAAACCATGGCTAATTGTTAAGGGTCCAAACACACCTAATGAAGATAAAAATACAAAAATTCTAAATTAAGCTAAGAGAATTGATGTTGGCAGTGACAAACACATTATGTTTAGAGGACGTTTGGTACCCCACCCCTCCCTCCTATTAAAAGGATTCATCAGCTGCATTTAAATTAGATTTAGGGTCCGTTTGGGGCAGTTATTTGGTGTGATGGCGTTTTGAAAACGCACCTGATCTGTTTGGATAAACTGCATTTTGGCAGCTTTACGTTTTCAAAACGCTGAAAATAATTTTTTCACACCGCACCTAGATAGATGCGGTGACAGCTTTCTGGCATCGATCTGACTTTTCCAAAAAAAAAAATAAAAATTTATAATAGCCACCGCACCTAGCTTATCATCTGATTATTTTTAATCAGCTTATCAACAGATTATTCAATAAGCTGAAGCTGCCCAAGCTG